CTGAAGTTCACCGCCAGATTATTCCTATCTACAAGTGGTAGAATACATTCGCTAACCTTGTATTTCAAGTTAACCTAAGGGTGTTTCATGTTTGCCTTTGTTTTGAGCAGTTTCTTTGTCTTCCTCTTGTGCCTCAGCATTTCTGCCTTGACATCTGCAACCAGACACCGGCTTCCACGTTTCTACGGATTCAAGACTCCGCCATTGTTCACCTGCCTGCCGCTCGCGCCAACCTCAGCAGCCTTAGATTCACCTTCACCGTTTTGTGAATTAAGACTTCCAGCTTTTCCCTCATGGTGTACTGTGTTCTGTGTTCGCTTTTGGGTACGACCAGTACAAAACGTAACATCATCATCATCATCTACAGAGTTGGTGGTGATGTTTAACTATTTATAAAGAGGTGTCCCATCCATACTTTCCGGTGATCATGGCAGCAGTCAAATCAAACATTTTAAGAGTGCAAAGTTTTGTTCTTTCAGCTGCTTTTATACTATATTTTTTTTGACTGAAATGTTGCTTAACCATGTCATGTGAGCTGGGACTGTTCTCTCTTTTATTTAATTGTTTTCAGTTTAATCAGCCCACAACTTTAGGGTTCACTCTCAGAAACTATTAACACCTTGAATCGTCCCAAGCTTGAAATAAAAATCACAATTAAATGTTTTGGCCATACCACTGAGCATCAGAACATTCGTAAATCCGACCTTGTTAATCCGGTTGAACCGAATCCTGGAACATTTACCCTCTCAGTGCGACTGAGCTTTTGCCTTTGTGAACGCAAACCGGAGCAGCTGGAAAATGTATCGTCCTCAAAGAAATGCTTTCATGCCACTGTAATCTATAAACATACTTTGCTTGTCAACCAATCAATTAATAAATTGATCACTTAACAGCATTAAGACAATCACTAACATTGGGTTAATCTACCATTTAGCGAGCTACACAAAAGGCTTCTCAACAACAACAAGCTCTAAAGCCCACACAACAGTTGTCTATACCTGCTAGCCAAAAATATTCTTTCCAAACATTAGCAGGTTTTGACCACAGATTTCTGACCTATTGTGTAAACAGACAAAGGAGCATAAACCAGTGAGTCAGACAAAGAACTGAACGCCTCCTTCTCCCTTCGCTCTCTCTCTCTCCCCCCCAGTCTCTGCTCGTCTGCTAACCAACCATCTGTGTTTTCGCTGCACCAGCCTCACTCACGAGCTGTATCTTCCCTCTGTGATGATAGGCTGAGCAAGCGAAACCCATGTGTTTCTGTGTCAGTGCAACAACCTGAAGCTGAGGTGGGCGGCAGACGGTGTTTCATGGTTGAGTGTGGTGCTGATGGACGACTTGACATAACTCTCGCCTTGGGCAGAACAAAAGAAACAAAATACTGAGCTGATGTAAATCCATGTCAACAAGAAAACAGGCAAAATGATTCAGTAAAAATAAATGTCAACTTCAAATTGTGTTTTAAGTAAACAAAAAAAATTAAAATTGGACCACCAACCGAACTGATGGTGCGTTTATATGCACGATGATATTCTCTTTTTAAGGCAGTAGTCTGATGCTTAAAAAAACACTACATATTTTTAAAGGAGGTTACACAAATATTTTAAAGTACATTTCAGGTTATTTTTGTAATATTTGATATATGATCCAGTGTTTTAGCCACCCTAGCAGGGTGTCTTTGGTCCAGACCAAAATATCTCAATATTCACAAGAGGAATTCGCACAAATTCCGTATAAATCCTCATGACTTTGGTGATCCATGACTTCCTCTAGTATCACCATGAGGTTGACATTTTTGTGAGATTGTCTGACATAAAATGTCTCAACAACTACTGGATGAACTGCCAATAAATTTGGTTCAGATGTTCATGTTCCCCCTCAGTATGATTTGTGTTAACGTTGGCGATCCTCTCACGCACAGTCCTACACACAACTGCTGGTGCTACAGACAGTCCAATCACTGCTGTGTTTTAAAGTAGTTGTTAGCTAAAGTAGTTAATTTCCTCAATATTTGACCCACTAGGCTATAAAACAGCTTGTAACACATGTGACATTGAAATGGTCATCACAGTGTGGCTCTGCACATGGACCTCAGACAGCAGTTTACTCCCGGAAACCATGGAAAAATACTTCCAGCACCACAAAGTGAAGCAAATAAATACATGACAGTTGAGACATGATCAAAACATGTTTTCATGCAGCTTCACGTAAAACACCAAGGTCTGCACAGATGTGACCTCTGCGACTACAGTCAAATGTTTGCTGCAGAGCTGTCATGAAAAGATCTCAGCATGTGTGCACGTAATCATCGTTTCAGCAAAGACACATAGTATGTCAACAATCAAATACAAGTAGGAGAGAAAACTCAGAACACAAACACATCTTCACAGTCATGTTTACAACATCCCGGATCTGTAAAAATCACTGTGTCCCTGTGGTACATACAGTGTGAGCTTTTTACAAACACAGCACGGCAGGCAGCTGGCAGGCGACCTGTATACCAATTAAATTATTATTTATTGCAATTAAAACCTGTGATTAACAAGGAGGATGCATTTAATAATTAGTGTCAATTAATATGTACAGCAGGAGCCCCCGTCCTTGCGTAAATTACCATTTGATGTATGTTTTTAACACCAGTGGGACTTTGTTGTTGCACCGAACCTTTGATTCAGGAAAAACAGGACGCCAATTAGGAGATGAAAAGTATACATCATCTTCTAAACGCCGTCATGTGGCCACGCCGTGCACACAAAGGAACCTTGATGCTGTGAAAATCTGAAGCGGAGAGGATTTTGATTGGTTGGTTGAGACCTCACTGGAGAAGCTTTGTTAAAATCATCGAATGACATCATTTGCTTGGAAGAGAAATATTTGAGTGATGAGTTACGAAGAAACACTTATGCTGTTTTAACAATAAAACATTGAGTTATTATTCCACTTTGCAAGAATTAGATTACATAAAAACAAGATCATAACTTGCAAATAAATGCTCACTGAAAACATGTTTACTATATTTTTGTTGTTGTACATGAGGAGATTCATCTTTTTTTAAATAGCTGGCTCTTATATAATTATCACTGGCATGCAAGCAAAGTATGTTGTGTGTATAAAGCTCAAATTAATTTTCAATTAGTCAAAACATTAATCTGAAACTATTCTGATAATCGATAAAAGTAATTTTTCAAGCAAAAACACCAAACATTCTCTCGTTTCAGCTTCTCAACTGTGAGGGTGTGCTGATTTTCTTTGTCTCATGTTACAGCAAGCTGGATGTCTTTGGGTTCATGGACTGTTTCTAACAGAACAATTAACCAAGATGATAATCAGCAGATGAAAATAATGATTAGAAGTACACTTGTACGCTCTCCTCAGACCTTTTCACACAAAAGGTTTTATGTTTTCGGTACCAATAGAACGATCTGGCAGCTGAAATATTGACTGAGGAATTTCAGGCAGCACATCACCGTAGATCTGCTGGAATATTTTGTACTAAAACCTTGGACTTGTACAGTACATCTGTGTGAGTCCACATTAGCATGACGTGTACCAACAATAGCTTTGAGAGGATTATGATTTCTCAGGGAAAAAGGCTCAGTGAAAACATCTCATCCTTTGTACGGCACCGTGACATATCCCGGCTGTTATAGCAGCCACGCTCGGCACAGCCACAGGCGCTTCCTTTGTCTCAATGAAAGTGTCACTAGAAACACAAACACCGCTGAGCACGTCTTCCGGAGCTGAAACGTTACTGCAAGCATTCAATTTCATAGCACATGACCCAGATATCCAAACAAGGTGCATATTCAGCAAACAATGCATCACAGGTCTGCTTGAACATCTTATTGGGAGCATCTTTTCATCATCAGTCACAGTTTCATTTGTGCTTACATCAACACAGAACTTTCTCTCAACATCTGCCTTCGTGTGACTGCAGTCCTGTTTAACATCATCTGTCTGCATCTCTTCCCATCTCTTCTCTTCTCTCTTCCAACTTGCTGCCATTTCCATAAATTATGGAGGCAGGCTATATTTGGACTCAGTGAAGGGAGAGAAAGAGGGTGGTGGTGGTGGGGGGGGGGATGCTTTGTTCAGCACACATGAAAGCAGCACACTCATTGGAGGTCCACTTAATGCTCTCTGCATGCTGATTGCTATCTCTTAACAACACGGGTTGAGAGCTCGTTACAGAGACTCCTCCAAAGATATCACAATGCATTTGACCTCTCCCTGTTCCAATTGCGCACAAGAGAGGTGAAATGAAAAACCAGGGTCACCCATTAACAAGTATAATAATCCGCCTGGAAATCAGCCAAACGACGTGTGTTAAACCCGCTTCTAAGGAGGATGTTCAGTCTCCTGCACCTCACCATCTTGGACTGACTCCTACGCCAAAAGCCCAACCAGCGGATGAGCACATTATTTTTGCCCTCACAGTGGAGCTCTGCGGCCGGAGAGAAGCCTACAAAGCAACGGAAACAACCAAACCTGAGGAGCAATTTAACCACCTTGTTTGTAATTAGTAAATTCACTGGACAGCAGTTGGAGCCGCTCAGTGCGCGCGCAGTCTGAAAACAAAAGACCTCAACCAGGCAGATACTCCGCTGCTCTCTCGGTGTTCTGCCTCAGTTAATTCAGTCCACCAACTCCTGAATTTTTCATTTCCCGGTCCCTACTTACGGGGATGGTAGGTGTCATTTTCGTGGGAAAGGGGGGGAAGGCAGGGTGAGAGAGAAAGAGCGAGGTACGGCTGGGGGAAGCGTGCATAAAACACATCCCGCGGAGCGCACCACTCCGCTCCAACCCGCGTGCGTTAAGACAGAACGGAATTGAAGTGATGGCATGGAGTAATGAGGGAGGGGATCGATGTTCATTCCTGCACATCCAGTGAAGGCTGGAGAGGAAACACACAAACAGCCCCGACACATCTCTAAATATCTGTGTTTTGGATGCTGGGGTGCGCCTGATGTTTTGTGCCCGCTCTGCACGGGACCGCCTACCTCTACAATCAGCGTGTTCTCCTCTCCGCAGACGGAAACGACCCAGAACAAAATGGGAAAGTAGCAGGTTTTCCAGCAGAATCCCGGGAGCCCAGCTTTCCTCCGCCGCCTCACTCCTCCTCCTCCCGTCGCCATGGCTGTGTCCCCGAAATCCCCCCCTCCGCTTTCCGCCGGTGATGTCCAGGCTCCTGCTCCGCTTGTTTACCGGAGGAAACAGTCCGTGTGCTCCTGCTCCATCCCGTCTGCTCTGACTGCCTCTGTGTGTGTTGTCTCTCACTCTCTCCCGGTTCGCAAGTGCAGACGCGCTATTGGTTTACTAGCCGAGTGCCCATTGCGCAGGCTCATTTGGGTACAGAGGAACAGCTGGGGAAGCCTGGCTACAAGACAGCGCGGATGCAGGTTGGTCGATCTGCTCCGGTATCATTGAGGAGGCGACGGGGGAGGGACGGAGAGAGGTAGAGATGGAGAGGGAGGGAGGTGATGGATGTTGTTGCAGTAGCTCTTTGCAAACACCAAGAGCGCTACAGATGCAGGGAGACTCATCATCTCCCCTAAAGCAAATATATGGCAAGAAAAAAAAAAACTGGCTATGAATGAAACAAGTATATGAATAACACCATTTCATCAATGACAGATATGAATTACTATACAGCCAAAGCCTGTGCACGCTTTGTGGTTTTCCTTGTATGAGGTAGGACCTCAGCACTCCTTTAGTTAAACACTTGTTTGCAGCCACAGAATGATAAATCTGAAAGTAATCTCCTTCACTAGCTGTGTTGTGCGTCACTTAACTTCACTCAGATGTCAGCAAATTTGTAACTCACCCCATTTACATCGTTAGGCTTTTTATGCAAACCATGCACAGAGATGGACAAACAAAGCAAAATGTATCTTGTTACAAAATACAAAAAAGCCTACCCCTCAAATTCATGTTACTGGTGCTAGAAAATATATCAAGGTAAAATACATAGGGCTATATTTTGTATTTTCAAAATGCAGCATTACATTGGACTTTCTGAATTTGTACAAAACAGCAAACCATTCAGATTTTTATAATGTAGACTATGAAGCTGTTGAGAGTTTGAAACCTACCTGAAAGAAGAACATGAAGTTGAATGCTGTAACTTAGGGCTGCAACTAACCATTATCGAAAAATCTGTCCATGATTTTCTTGATTAGCCTAATTCTTGGGCCCAGGAAATTGTCGATCAGTGTTTCCCACACCCCAAAGTGACAGCCACAAATGTCTTCATTTGTCCACAGCCTAAATATATTCAGTTTACTGTCATAGAGGAGCAAAGAAACAATTCACATTTGAGAAGTTGAAATCAGAGAATTTGATCATTTCTTCTTTTAAAAAAAAAAAAAAAAAAAAAACTCAAAGAAATGAAACGATCAAAATTGTTACCGATTAATTTAATAGTTGACAACGACATCGTTGCAGCTCTAAAACTGTGAAAACAACAATACTGAAAATAGTCATGGACAGTATGTGAAAACTTCCTCTCTGTACAATTCAAACACATGCTGTTGAGAACCAACCACTACAGTTAGTAGCTTTTTAGCCTCTTCAAACATTATGGAATATTATTCCTGTAGATGAGAACAGTCTGGCAAACTGAGCTGAAGAGGCAGCCTGTTCTCATGCTCAGGTGTCACATATACATGCTTTGCAAGAAACATGGCAATTGTATGCAAAACAGCGATTTTGTGTGTGTAGGATACGCCCCCAGGTTGGTGTATGAGACGCATCCAGGCCGCGTGTGTATAACCGTCACAGAAGTTAGTGCCTAAACCTAAGTCAGAAAATATATGCATGTCGACTGGCTAACCCTAACTGCTAGCACATTAGCCGTGACGCCTTTGTGTTGCAATGCCATTGCAAACTGCAGCATATCATACATACGCAAAATCTGAGATGAGATCACGTTGGAAGAGAAGTTTGTCTTAAATTGAGCAAAAAGGCTTGATCAGATCGTTTTGACCTGGTCTTGTTTTTTAGGTTTTATTAATCATGGAGAAAATAGCTATTTTGAAAATCCAAAATGACACCATACTAAAGTATCAACAAAATATACAAATAAAAATTGTACTTTTTCTGCCCTGTCAAATACAAATTATAAAATACTTAGTAATGTAGTTCAAATACAAGTAACAGAAATGCTTTCCATCTCCTACGACATGCATGTGTTGCTGCATGTGACAGTATGTGCATGTGAAACAGAGGCGGAAGATATCATTCAGAGGAATTCACAGTACGGCTTATAACTTAAATTGCCCTGAAATTAACATAATGACAGCCTTGTTGACCTGCACGCTGGCAGCCAAAACCATATAATCAAGTCTGCAGAGTTTCAGAAATGTAGAATCAGAAATGTCTCAGAGGAGTTAGAAGTCGCTGTTCACGTCATTCCACCGCCTTTCTTTCACCTGGGTCCACAGGTTATAAATTATGAATGAGCGAGTATTGATTCATAATGTGGCCTATTATGTGTGAATAAAAATATACATGTGCTGCGCTGTAGGGGAAGAGATGCCTCATTGTTTTTTACCTTCTAAATGAAGTACTTCATGTCTGTATGATACAGTGAAAAATGCAAAAAGGTAGCAAGCATATAAAAGGAGGAAAGGAACATTAACACAGCATGGAGGATGAGTAAGAGGGGAGGTGAAGATGGAACAAAGGAATCAAATCAAGGTAGAGTTGAAAACAATACAAAGGCTGCATTAAGACTGAGTGGCCAGGCTGAGCCAGAGGAGTAAAGAGGGATGTGAAAGGAGATGTCACACATTTTCCAATATTTCTGAATGCCAGTAGTTTAGTATTACATTTACAAAGCTACTATCAGTAACATTTATTAACCCTGAAGATAAATTCAGACAATGAGCGGAGGAGGCGCAGACTGAGAGATGCTTTGGTCTTCAACACCTCCTCCGCTCTCATTCCCCCTCCTACTCATCTCCCCCTTTACTTTCACACTGTAGTAGCTCATTCGCCTGTTTGTGCATCTACACCTCTTTCTCTCTTCTCCTCTGGAAAACTCCCTCAGCTGCCTTCACTTCAGCTTCAGTTTTGACTTGTGGCTGGGAAGTCACGTGACCTGGACTCAGACACAAGCTGCAGATTTAATGGCTTCAGACTTGATTTGACAGAATCAAAAATTATGAATTGAAAGTACGAAAGACAAAGAAGAGACTGACCTCCAAAGCAAAACAACAGAATCAGTCCTTTCAACAAATTCCCCAAAACATTTGATTACATTCAAATATCAGCGCCTTTTGTAGCAGCCGAAAATGATGACTCATCAGTCGGGGAGCAAGGGAGGAAGTTAGATGACGTTATTATAGAGACCAAGTCCACAGAGGGAGGAGGTCAGGTTGAACAGGTGGGTCAACTAAATATGTCCTTAACATGAGAGGCTGCTGCTTGTTCTATGTTGCCTAACAGACGGTCAACATTTATTGTTATTTTTATGCTGACGGTTATAAATCTGATTTTCTTGAGATAACCAAAGGTGTCCCTCAAGGATCAATCTTAGGACCCATTCTGTTTTCAATTTTTATAAATGATTTGGATAGAGATGTTCAAGCCAAATTACATTTATATGCTGATGATACAGTGGTTTACACCCAGGCTTCCACCATTTCAGCAGCATTGCAGGAACTTCAGATTGCATTTCAGGCATTGCAAAATACATTAGAGTCTAAAACTGGTTTTAGATACACAGAAAAAGTTTATGGTCTTCTCAAAAGCTCGAGCACAGCTACTTGACAACTGTGGCCTCTTGTCCTTAGATGGGAAATAAATTTGAGAGTGTCTTCATACAAGTACTTGGGGATATGGATAGATGATAAGCTCTCCTTCAATGAACATATTACTGCTTTAGTCAAGAAACTTAAAGTCAAGCTTGGCTTTTATTTCAGAAACAAATCGTGTTTTACTTTTAGTGCAAAGAAGAAACTTGTGGAAGCTACTTTTGTCTGTAATTGATTATGGAGATATATTGTACATGCATGCTGCATCTTCCATCTTGCGTCATGTTGATTCAGTTTACCATGCATCACTACGATTCATAACAAATACTAAGTCCCTCACCCATCACTGCATTCTTTATGATTTAGTTGGTTGGACATCACTTAAAATTCATAGACAACAGCACTAGTATCTCTTTATTTATAAAGCTATACTTGGCAAACTTCCACTGTACCTCTGTAACCTCACTCTCTGTCTGCTCTGGTACCTATCAGCTACGCTCCTCAAAGTGGTTGCTTTTTAAACGTGCCACGAGTTGCAACCGAATTGGGAAGAACAGCTTTCTCTTATTCAGCACCTTGGGGGTGGAATAATCTACAGAAAGAGCTAAAGTTAGAAACCCTAATGTCCATTAATGAATTTAAAACTACTGTAAAGAATGTTGTGATGGAGACATGTTCTTGTTTTTCTTGAGTCTCATTGTGTTTTAACATTTTGTACTTCTTTTATCATGAAAATGTAACTTGGTATTTATTATGTATGCATTTGTTGTGATTTGGCTGCTACCTTGGCCACGTCTCTCTTGTAAAAGAGATTCTGAATCTCAGTGGGACTTCCTGGTTAAATAAAATACAGTTTTGGATGGACTTGTTGGTTTTTGGACACAGTGAAAAGGGGAGTGGTTATTCAAAATGCAGAAAAAGAAGAATCACAAGAGGGTAAGGCAGAGTACTGCAGCCCAACCCGTTCTCATTCCCAGGTTGTCATATACTTACACTTTGTCACAGCCATCGGCGTCATTTACCAACACATGGCACCCTTTAGCATCAGTGTGAGATGCACAGGGCTAACTACCTCCAATGTAAACCCATTCGCGGTAGTATTTGACGCTCAGGGCAGGGCGAACTGAGTAACCCCCTGGGAACGGGTTGTGCAGCCAGCATGATGGGGAAAAATAAAAAAAAAGGTGCTAATGTTCTCTTAAAAATTAGAAACTTCTCATTTTTACAAGATGTTTTTCAGATAATGATTTTCTTGTCATTACTGGATGCAAATAATCTTACATACAGTATGTCATCCATTACAAGAATATCTTGTTTCTTGTTTTGAAGACAAAATAAGACAAACAAATTTGTGTCATGGTAGCAGCAATACGCTGAAGGGTTTTGAGTATGTGTTAGTAGTAGTTTGCAGATGCAATGATACAGTTCATGAAAATGTAATGTTTAAAAATAAGTAGTTTCTTTCACAAGATTAATAAGGAAAAAAGATTATTGTAATCTATTAATATCATTCTAATTTTCCATATTGTAAATTATTTATTTTTATATTGGTCTTGTCTGCACATACGACATATTGCATTTCTGTTTTTATATGTATCCTGTACAGATTGTAAAACCCTTTGAGGCAACGTAATTTTGGGCTGTAGAAATGAATCTTACAAATGGAACAATAGATAAACAGAAAAACAATGTAATTTTTTATCTTTGTGGCAGAAGTCAAGCCTGTACATACACTAAAATATGCTTTGACCAGCCATCGACTCAGTCCTTACCCACAATCCTCTCTGCTCAACAGCCC